GCTTGTACACACGGTGCTTTGTTCACAAGAGATACCTGTAGACACAACTCTGTCATTATACTCTGTCTAGGTATAGCCTGAAAGACGGAATGCTGGGTACGTACTCCTTGGCAGGGATACTATGTTTGCAGGACTTCTAAGCACTCCATAACAAACTAGGTGTGTTATTTGTGTAGGTATAACTTTAAGATCACAAGCATTAGCCCTTAGGGTTCAAACAATAACAAAAACAACAACGCTGATAATGATGATGTCCTTGAATATGAAGTGAAGTGAAACCCTTCCTAAGCCACAGAAATTAAGGCCTGACAAACTGGGGAATTTTATACAATGCTTTTTCATCATTTAATTAGTCTTCAGCAACCCATGCTTTTGCGACAATGTGCAATCCGGTGGTGGTCAGGCTCGCTGACTTGCTTGATGCATGTCATCGTATAACAATTGCATAGACTGATGCTCATGATGTCACGCATTGAATTGCCTGGTCCAGACTTGATTATTTACTGAACGTCGTCATTCAGCTGGAATATTGCTGAGAGCGGTGTTCAACAACAAACAAACCAAATATCAGTTTATGGGACATTCCCCCTGTTATTACTGTGTTAATCAAGCATTTTAATACCTGGTACCCCAAGAATTCAGTGTCGAGACCCCAGTACTTGCAAATGCATACACCTGACTAACTTTGTTCAAATACACAAGGACACATACTTTGAGTGTACTGGTAGTACTCAACTTGGTAACGTTTCCACCGACTTCAACTCACCTAACTGACTGCATTACATTTTCATAAATGTAAACATGGTAAACCAAATAGGAGTGTGTGCTAAAGTTTCATCGGCTGAAAACATTGTGAAATGTTTTTCGAAGCCCAGACTTTTCACTGTGCAGGGAAACTTGATTTTTCTCAATCCAAAATTTGAAAAATGTGCCATTCTGCTTGGAAAAATGGATGCCAGAGCGGATGGTCCAGGGTTTGATCCCCGGCCGTCTCACACCAAAAGACGTTAAAAGATGGTACTTGTTGTTACCCTGCCTGGTGCTTGGCATTAAGGGGCTAAAACAAGGACTGGTCGGCTTGGAGTCAGTTTATTGTGTCTGGGTGGGGTATTCATGTTAAACTGCGGCATGGCATTTCAGTGGGCTAGCACCACAAAAACGACATAAGTCCGAACTAGTACAAGCAGCCTAACATACACACACAAGTGCATGCATATTGCAAATTCATCTCCTCTCACCATCGTATTGCTGTCGGTTCCAAACTCTAAATATGCTATTCAGAAAATAAATAATATCTATCTCATAAATGAGAAGGGAAAAGTTAGCTCCATCCATGCTACAAGTACAACAGGTTGGCACTCCCTGACACCAGGTCAAGGATATACTGATATATGGGATAGTCTCTCAGCCACAAACCAGTTTATCACGATCAGTGCATCCTTTTAACATGTACATAGGTTTGTTGTTTATCCTTTCATCAGATACACTGCATCACACAATTGTTTTCAAATATTTAAAATTTGGCGTCTCTGGCTACGATGACAAATTGTACGCTGGAATAGCATCATGCATATAACGTTGCACAGTGGGTGCACAATGTAATAAATAAATGCCATGTGCACATCAGCGTTGTGTTGCACATTACATGCATGTTTCATAAACACAGTGGAATAAGAAGGTTTAACTTTTGTTCAAATTGCAGTGCCATCTAGCAGTCTTTTCTGTAAATGTTGTCCTTTATCAATTGCGTGTTCTTGTGTGTGCACCGATATTGTTTAGTACACATTGTTCTTTGTTCCACATGGTGTCTTTTCTTTGCTACTGTAATTTAGTAGCGGAACGATACACCAATGCATTGGTGGATCACGATTTTTTACTCCTCGATACATGTATCACAGTCGCACACTAAGTATAAAAGTATCGATTCTTAACTTAAATGTATTATCTCATAAATGTTTATCTAAACACTAATTACTCATGTACTAGTGAAAATGAGTGGTGAAAACATAAATATTTTCATCCATTACGCCATACTTGACACTGCCAACTGTAAATCGTTAGTGTGCTGGGTATTTGGCCATCTTGTCTATGAAAAAGATGGCTTACGCACCACAGATAAGAGCACATGCAAGTATCATGATCTGTAATGGACCGTGATGAGGTATCATGATACATATCGGATCGCACATTTGGTATATCATTGCAGCCCTAATATATATCATGTCAGGTATGTTTCATTCATAATTATCATGATTATCTTACACTTGGAGTTTTATTATTGATATGCACATTAAGATTTATTCGTAACATTTAATACATTTGATACTTTATTTGACAATTATTGTGCACTGTTGATCTATATTTCAATTGATGTATTTTTTTACCAAATGGCCGTCAATAGAGCTGCATGAAGAACATAATAATATACAGCTGTAGCCCTTAAAGTGCAGTAACATGCTAATATTTTCGATTTGAATGACCTGGCCACCAAGACAATATTCGTATCACCATGATCACTACAAACAGTACATAATAAATACTTTCAATGCATCAAATGATCTTTGACAATAGCTAGAAATACATATTAATTCAAACATAAACACTACAAATGGTCTGTTTTCAAAGCCTGTATATGGGTCATTATATGTTAAGGCAGCACAAAACTAACATGCAAGGACATTTTTCAAAATACCATATCATTATCAGAAGATTATAAATTCTTAAATATTTGGAAAATGTTACTATCCCATTGTGTCAATTTTGTAATAAAAAGGCAATGCAGCGAATGCACCAAATAAGAAAGGTTTCATGAGCATTTTTTCTGTCCATGTTATGTAATTACGGTTCTGATGCAAGGTCAGTATATCCCATTTTATATTCTTACCATCAGAAGTTGAAATAAGTAGAAGTTTCAAAGTCAATACTGTCTATCACTGTCACTGTCCTTTCAGCAATGTTATGGATTTACTTTTTCAGTGCACTACTTCATCAATGAACTTTATTCAGTATGCAACAATTGTTGTTAATGAAAGAGTGCTAAAATTTCAATGCAGCTTTAACACGATTTAAACATGTTGCATAAAACATTTCCCTCATAACATTTGGATGCCATTTTACACACTACACAAACATGAGACTGTTATCTTGATATACTGACTTCTGGAAATCATGAAAATAACGGACATGATCCTGCTCAAAATGTTTGATGGAACACATCTTTTATCTTTTGCCCAACTCAGTTTTGTCTCCAACTCCTAAAATGATGACAAAGAACGCAAGAAAAATGATAATATATTCCATACAACTGATTACATATGACATTTCATCATTGACGTGGCACTAACAATGCCTGTGTTACGAACATGATTCTTGACGGAAAATCAATTTCCTCACTTCAAAAGGGATATATAGACCCAATACTTTTGTTCTTAAGCACTAATTTATCTTGGTTTTCTTTGATATATTATATTACGTAGTTAGGAAACATCTAGAAACTGTGGTTCAGCGGTGCTCGTCGATAGAAGACACCGTGAAATTTTGACGGAAGGAGTCATGTCTGTTTTGTGATTTTAAATTTCCGAAACAGTGTACGAAATATTGTTTATTTTAGAGTAACATAAAATAAATAGAAATGAAATGCTGCAACGATACCGGATACAATGAGTTTAGCACATTTTGTTCATAAAATAGGGTTTTGGCCATGTAACATTATTCTTAGACTAACATATTGTCTCTGAAATGAACATATCGTACAGAAAAAAACAGTTGTTCAGTTATCTTAATAAAAATCTAATAAAAAGGGAGCCCAGTGATTCTCTTCATTTTCGATACTGCAGTAATCTAGACTTGCCAAACATTATAGACTTGCATGGGCTGTAGTTGATATAAATGTATCAGGGTCTGTAAGACAGACTACATTATTCTTTGATGTTTAATTTCTTTAAAGTTGTCTATTATATATTGCAGATATATACTTTATTAAATAATACAACTTTGCTGGCTGAGGGTTGTAACAAACAATTTCTATTGCGCCAAACCTCCAACCCCGAGTGGAATGTCACCTTAGTGAAAAATGGCCTACATCATACCAAAGGCAGGCAAGCACAAAATAATTGTCCTGAACGGATTGGTATTATTTCTGTGAATAATATTTTCAAGGTATAACTTCTGGAGCATAAAGTGTATCAGAAGCAAGACATAAGACAAACAATTATATATTCTAGCTGTCTATCAACATAGCAAAATCAATTTGAATATATGATTAACACGTTCATATATTGTCAGGCGTTATAAGGTCCCATTGTTAGCAAAACCTATTGACACATTCTGTGTCATATGCATCTACATTCCAATAATCACATCCAGCATTCAGGTGAAAATAATCAATACCACAGAATGGAATATCATGCTCGCATGCAATGGATGCTGTTCATTTGTAGGTCATCCCAATAAACAACCATTGACAAGCTAATCGCATTTACAGACTACGATAAAGCTGGAGGTCTTATGTACGGGAACATAAACAATAGCCTTGGATCATATATAGAGTTAGTAGACCATTGAAACAGAAACTATGGCGAAAAACGTTGCAAATTAATTTAACCGGCAGCAGCATCATTATCATAATTCTTTGAAACGTCATTCTTTCAAGAGTCCCATTGGTAAGCTTGGCACCACATTTTACCAAAATTGTTGGTCAATTTTTTTAAAACACACAGTATAAACTTGAATTGTTTCATTGTGGATTAGTGGACAGTATTTATTTGGAATGATAGCCAGTATTTCTTTGGAAAAGAACTGTCAAAACATCGGTATGAGCCTGTCCCACTTCAACTGTCAAAAATTCTAACGGATTTTAGCGACGATATTTTAATTAGTATACGGTTACCAGTCGGTGTGACCAGTTTGATTGATTCAAAAGTATTAAATGTCATATATTCTTAACTACAATATGCTCAAATTGTCAAAATATTCACACACCTGATAAATTATGTACTCACCTTCTCGGATTTAACCAGGGCGCTGTGCTTCCGGTTGAAAGGGCACCTGCGCAGCGAATATTTTCATATTGTACACACCTAATAACTAGCTAGACCTTTAACGTATTGTGGTGGTGCTCTATCGGTAAGCTTTAAAGGTCGTTTCATCGTGTTCACGAGGTCTGTCTTTCTATGTGTATGTATGTTACAACACATGCAAGGTAGGATCATGAAACAATGAACATTCATTGAGCTGTTAAAAACATTTGTAACACCTGTGTTATAATAATAGACTGCTTTGTCAAATTATCAAATGGGCAGAACATTATAAAACTTAACATTTAGATTCTAATGAGTGAGTGGTGTTTTGCAGTCAGCAATAGTGCATCTATACGACGATAGTTGGAATAATCTAATCTCGGCCAGTCTGGCAAGTTGACGACTTGACCAACGGTCCACGGAACCGAGGCACGATGACACACTGTCTGGTAGGTAACAAAAAGAAAACACCTGCACATCAAAGTGACCAAGACCGTACCATTAGATCTGTGCCCTTCAACTTATGAACGTCTTGTCTCGTCTGGCAAACTCGCGAGAAGCGTCCAGCCTAACAAGTGGAGACTTAATGAGCACTTGCAGCTGAACGACCAACTATATCAATGTCTATCTTTAGGGGGTAAATCCAGGAAGTAAAAGAATATTTCTATTTACCAAAGGTCTTACAAATAAACATTCTCGTTGGAAATCCTTTCAACAAAAACGCTACACCACGGATGTAGTGCTTTACTACTAGAAGCAACCACACTGCCACAGGCATGGTGCTGACAGTCCAAGGTTGATAATGGTGTGGGATTCCAACCCGCAATCTGCGGATCCTGGTACATTTAAGGGAAGAAAATCTGCATAGCAAATTGCGGCGCCTGAGACAACTTATCCTAAACGTATGTAAAGATGCAATGTATTTTAAATTAAACAATGGATGTGAGTTACATGTTTAATTTCTGCCGTTATTCAACAGCATTTTCTTAGTTATCTCTGAAATACACCGACAATTTCTTGTTCATGAACGTTTGTGTTTGCCTCGTGTGCCGTGTTGCTCGATATAAATCGGTTTCTCCAGCCAATCAAGTTTCATTTGAAGGATTTCTTAGCCCAGGCTGAGGGGCGGTCGGGTAGCCTAGTGGTTAAAGCGTTCGCTCGTCACGCTGAAGACCCGGGTTCGATTCCCGACATGGGTACAATGTGTGAAGCCCATTTCTGGTGTCCCCCGCCGTGATATTGCTTGGATATTGCTAAAAGAGGCGTAAAACCATACTCAGTCAGTCAGTAGCCCAGGCTGTAGGTAAAAATGCGTTTGATTTGAGGTCAGTCACAAAGAGTCAGTGAAATCTGAATCACAATGTCCTGTCATTTCTTCGATGATTGCGAAAGGGGTGCACATGATCGACGGCTTTTATATTGTCTAAATGCATAATTTGTTTTAGTCACTATATGGCTGAAATATTGCCCATGTGACTATAAATATACTCACTCACCAAAGTGGCATAAACGTCAAGGACCTTACCAAACTTCGGGCCTTACGCCGTGATATTAAATGTAAGGAAGACTCTACAGACTGAAGATGTGTTCAAAGAGGCGAGAAACCCTACAAACTCACACATCTTTCAGAGTAGGCCTATTAGTTAACCAGTGAATGATTGGCACTGCCATAGGTTAGACAAAAATATATTTTGACTCGCTTATTTTGTGGCTTAGAATGTGTGTCATATCGCGTAATTATTTGGATACCTTGTTTTAGTCCCACAACATAAATATAATTGTTTCTCATTTATCATCCTTGTGTCATTCGTCACCACTCGCCCCTTTCCGTAACCTGACGCTTGTCCCGGAATAACACGAGTTGGTCACGAACGATCCTTGTGTATGACTATGTGACATTAGTCGATGGGAAAGTATAATCAACAAACATCGACGTTGTTCGACTCAAATGTTATTTGGCTTAATTATCATTGGTATTTCGACGAATTATTTGTACAATTATTGAAAAGCCAAACAAGTACATTCATGTTCATAAGAACAACTGTTTGTTGTTTACTTCAGTGCGCACCTGTTAATTTGCATATGTCCCAGAGTTCCGGGCAGAATCAAAGATGGCGCGGGTATTTTGAATCATTGTAAACAATCTTGCACCTGTAGACGATGGCTTTATGATATCGGTTTTTTTCATCTTCCCGATTATTAGAACAAATATACACAGAAATGCTATATTTGAAATCAGATGCATTTTTCTATGTCATGAGGTGGTTATGGACCATAATATCCTGGACACATCAACGATCTCAGTATTTTCAGTTTTCACAGCACAGCAGTCATGATACTTTGTGACCGAGTGGTCACAATTCATGTCATTTTGACATGACATTGTCATTGATGGAATTAGGGCTTAATGCAATCCTCTTTGCCGAAGATATTGGAAAATGTGGTATGTTTCACCACGTGAATGGGACATCCAGGATATTTACAACAGTCACAGAGTGATGGGCGATTTTCCGGTTGGGCCTAGAATCTACATATGTGTACCGTTTTTGTTGCAACACATAACTTTTTGTCTACAAAAAACCCATTGTGTGCGAAAATCCTAAGAGTGGGTTTGTGTTGTCAAATGCTTATGTTCTGGTTCTCCAGTCTCCACTGGCTCTTCTGTGCCCAGTCAAGTTGTGATGAGTTACATCCCTTGGACGTGACAGGATCATACGATGTGAGACCTCCATGACATTGGGCACCCCCTCCCACTTGTGCTGAGGATAACTGAAATACTGTTTATAGCAGTGTTAATGGGAGACTAGATCCAATTGTATGAAATATGTTTTAAGTTCAAAGCACTTTGTGTATCTGTTAGCTCAAACAAAAGGACAAACAAGACAGATTTTATGATGTACATCAATCAAGCAGTTGCTGAATATCTCAGTTACACAGAGACAATGTCTTGAACTTGACTGGAAACATAGTCCCTCTTTAACCTCACTCACACATTAAGAAAGGGCCACTGTAGCGTTGGTAGGTCAGTATAGGTCCCCAGTACTCTTTTTCTTTTAACAGATTCAATAAACCTTAATCATGTTAAATGAAACAAAAAGACTGAAAATATATTTTGTCTGACTGTTCTATTTTTCAAACAAAGTAAATATTGACCATATAAGTAATACTTATATATTGTAATTAACCACTGACTACTGCAAACACCTTATCAAGAAATTAAGCCTTCACAGTTCTCACAGAAGTGAATATATGTACCGGGGTATGTAGGTGCACATTCTAGAATGAAGTATCGTGGCATATTTTTGTTATTACCAAAGAATTTTCACCAATGACAGGGTGGGTGTGGGTGGGTCGGTGGGTCGGTGGGTGGCTTGGTTTCAAGTAATTGACGTCAATGAAGTAATTACTTTTACAAGCTTCAAATTCATAAGCTTTAGATAGCAGAATCTGAAACAGATGGATTAACCTGTCACTTAGAAGTGTTACTGTTGATTTTAATTATGGGGACATGGGTAATACTCTATTCCATTCACAGAAAATTAACAGGGTGGCAAGGCATCTTTTTCTGAAACAAACTTTTGGAAAAGACAATTTAATCCAACATAACTAAGTGGAATCTCACAGTCACTGTGAGATTAACGTAGTCCTGGACTGACTGACTGTTCATCAATATCTTGTCTTTTTGAAAATGAAGCCACTATTTTGTCACTGATGGTACCTAATGACCCTACTGTGTCAGCAGCTAAAATGAACACTAAACCCTACTGTACAGATAGTAAATATCCGGCACTTTAATAAAATTGCTATAATTTAAATTTTGTTTTGGATAAAATAGTGCCAACAACTAAACAGTGCTAAACCGACTAACCCAAACAACTTTGATAAAAAAAACCAATTGAGCTGCTAAAAGGTTATGTTAGTTTATTAACCTTCCAAAGTTACTTGGGTTTGGTGTTATTCTGTGACTATGCAGGCTCTTCTATGGATTTGAGATAAGATATGAAAATGTATTGCCCGGGCATATTGTTTTGGACTGAATTAGCTGCATCTTTGATTATTCTACTAGCAACATATGATTCTACATATCTTCGTTTAACATATTTAATCACAAATGGAGCGAGGATCCACATACCTAGTCCCCATTTCTATGTTGCCTATTCCATGTTTCTATGTTGCCTATTCCATGTTTCTATGTTGCCTATTCCATGTTTCTATGTTGCCTATTCCATGTTTCTATGTTGCCTATTCCATGTTTCAATGTTGCCTATTCCATGTTTCAATGTTGCCTATTCCATGTTTCAATGTTGCCTATTCCATGTTTCAATGTTGCCTATTCCATGTTTCTATGTTGCCTATTCCATGTTTCAATGTTGCCTATTCCATGTTTCTATGTTGCCTATTCCATGTTTCTGTGTTGCCTATTCCATGTCTCTATGTTGCCTATTCCATGTTTCTACGTTGCCTATTCCATGTTTCTATGTTGCCTATTCCATGTTTCTATGTTGCCTATTCCATGTTTCTATGTTGCCTATTCCATGTTTCTATGTTGCCTATTCCATGTTTCTATGTTGCCTATTCCATGTTTCTATGTTGCCTATTCCATGTTTCAATGTTGCCTATTCCATGTTTCAATGTTGCCTATTCCATGTTTCTATGTTGTCTATACCATGCAGTCTCTGAAGATTTTTAGACCGCCTTCGTGGTCTAGTGGTAGAGCGTCTGCCTGGAGAGCGGAAGGTCCGGGGTTCGATCCCCAACCGCGTCATACCAAAAGACGTTAAAAGATGGTACTTGTTGTTACCCTGTCTGGCGTTCGGCTTTAAGAGGCTAAAACAAGGACTGGTCGGCTCGGAGTCAGTATACTGTGTCTGAGTGGGGTATTTATGTTAAACTGCGGCATGGTATCTTGGTGAGCTAGCACTATAAATCGGCATCAGTCTGGACTAGTACAAGCAGCCACACAAACACACACACGTACATGCACGTCACTATATAAGTGCAAAAATCTTGGACGCGACGTTAAACCCCATTTCACCTCACCTCTGAAGATTTGTCTTTTTTTCCAGTGTTAGAGCTATTCAAGACAGAAGATGGCAGAAGGCTTGTGTACCCCGTCAAAGGGCAGGAATCAAGATGTGGAGCTACTCTTCCAAAAGATGGGAGAAAAACTGGGCTGGTTCCAGCACAAAGATATTGATACTGCCCTGAAGAGTGTAAGGACAATAATCAATAACAGCAACAGTATCATTCTCTCTCACAGCTACAGCTGCTTGTTTACTGCATTCCATTGTGTTGCTGGTACAGACTTGGTCTGTCAGGTTTCTGTACTATCTGTTGCTTGTCATGAAAGAATTATAATAGAACTGAGTACTGTGTGTATTTACGACACACATCTCAGCTTTTTGTTTGTTTGTTTGTTGTTTAACGCCGCACTCAGCAATATTCTAGCTATATGACAGCGGCCTGTAAATAATGGAGTCTGGACCAGACAATCCAGTCATTGCAATCATGAGCATCAATCAATGCAATTGGTATATGATGACATGCATCAACCAAGTCACCAACTCGACCACCCGAGTAGGTCTCCTCTTACGACAAGCATAGTCACCTTTTACAGCAAGCATGGGTTGCTGAAGCCCTATTCTAACCCGAAGCTTCACAGGTCACATACCTCAGCTGTGACTTGCAATGTGTAAAGGCCAGTAAATCAGACCAGTATTGTGTAGAATGGGTACTGATCAGTGATACGTACACCTAAGACATGATTAGAAGTAAGTGAGTGGGTATTCCAGCTATATCATGGTGGGGGACACTAGAAATGTGCTTCACACATTGTACCCATGTTGGGACTCACACCCTGGGTCACCGCCTCCGTGGTCTAATGGCCTATTAGTTTGATCCCGGCAGTGTCATACCAAAAGATGTTTAAAGATACCCTGTCTGGCGCTCAGCATTAACTTAAAACAAGGACTGGTCGTTTTGAAGTCAGTATTTAGTGTCTGAGTGGGGTATTCATGTTAAACTGCGGCATGGTATCTCTGTTGGCGAGCACTATAAATCAGTCCTGACAAGTACCAGCAGCCAAACATGTGCATGATGCCGCTAATATAAGTGCAATAATCTTAGACGCAATGTTAAACCCCGTTTCACCTCACTTCACCTCAGAACCCTGGGTGTTTAGGATGACAAGTGAACACTTCAACCACTACCCCACTGCCCAGACACAATTTTGCAATCAGTTAGTGGTCAATGCTCAGGGAAATACAGTGCCCAGCCATATATTTAGGATGAGATGGCAACATTTTGTGATCTGCCTGATTGTGTGTCAGTGATCCCCATGGATTGGATTGCTGCTCATGCTATCAACCACTGGTCTGTCTGGCCAACATTCAAGTGATGACAAGCCGCTTTGCTATTGTTGGAATGTTCCCAACCATGTTCTCTCAACCACTTTAAATGATCAGTCGAAAGTTCAATTTGAAATGCCATGTCAGCGTTTTTTCATCCATGGCAACACCAAATTGCTCAAAGCAGTTGGCCCCATTCTTTCCCATCATTTGGCCAAATAGTAGTTGCTTGTTTTTAACAGGGTTCAGCTGTACTTGGTCAAATTAAGAAGTACGGAGTGATGATGAAGTCAAGAGAGACTCGGGCCGGTCGGGTATCCTAGTGGTTAAAGCGTTCGCTCGTCACGCCGAAGACCCGGATTCAATTCCCGACATGGGTACAATGTGTGAAGCCCATTTCTGGTGTCCCCCGCCGTGATATTGCTGGAATATTGCTAAAAGCGGCGTAAAACCAAACTCACTCACTCACTCACTCAAGAGAGACTCAAGTGGACAAGCTTCATGATCAACAAAAGCAACTTGCCATCAGATTCCTATCCAACTTCATCAAGCCACAATCACTGAAAGAACTCACACCAGAAAAACTTGTGGTGTCAGACCCAGCCAATCACTTGCCAATAAAGGATGTATTTATTGGAAGTCAGACAAAAAGGGTTTTGTCAAGGTATGGCCATGATAAGTTTGCATCCCAATTCATGGAGAATGTCAAAGAAGCCTATGTGAATTGTAGCATCTCTCTCCTGTCCAAGATGCCTATCAATGATTCCCTTTTGAAGGCCATGTCAGCCCTGGATCCAGTTGTGAGGCCAAATGCTACAACCCAGCGCTACCTCAATCAACTCCCATCTCTAGCTACAAATGTTCTCTAGGAAGATGAGGAAGACGACTTTGACTAGGAGGTGAGAGCTTACACAGTTGATGACCACTTGCCTGGTCCTCTGTCATGTCATGATGAGAAACTGGATCTGTGGTGGGCCAAAGTTGGCAAGTCAGGAAGGTACCGTCTTCTGTCAACTTAAGAGTGTCATCACATGCTTTCATGGTCCCATTGTTGAAAGCAGTTTTAGTATCATGGGGGACATACTTGATGACAATTTAGCCAACATGAAGATTGGAACGTACAGTGCCATACAGACAGTCAAGCATGAGCTCATGGCTAGAGGTCAAACATCAGTAGAAGTATATTTTCACCAGGACCAAAACACGCAAAAGTCGACCCTCATTTATGCCAGGACTTAGCAATGTCTTATAGACATTATCAAGGAGGCCAGACAGCAGGAAAGGAAGGAACGGCAGAAATATTTTGGAGTGGTTCCATCACCAAGAGGAAACACTGAGAAAAATTATCCTATGAAGCAGAGTCAGATATGTTGTTCCATGACAGATGCCTCACGAAAAAACACAAAGTTGTAGTTGTGCCTCACAGATTTGATTAGATAGTGAATAACGGTATTCATATTAAGTGATGTGTGACAGAATGAAGTACATCATATGTGTTGTTCTGTGATATGTTTCATAATAAACTAGGAAGTGAAATATTTCAATATTTACTAAACAAATTTGATTGGTTAATGAATATTGAAATATTCCACTTGCTAAACAAATTTGATTAGACAGTGAATGACAGTATTCATATTAAATGATGTGTGACATAATGTGAATGTCTTAAAATAGTTCTGTGATATGTTTCAACATAAGCTAGGAAGTTGAATATTTCAATGTTTAATTAAATGTTTTATGACCTTTTTGTTATTGTTCATGATTCGTTGGTTATCATACTGCTACAAATGCTAGGTAATTATTGAACATTGTGATTGTGTGAATGTTGTCCAAACTGCACGAAATTGCTTAAAATGCAATTAAATGTTCACAAAATATCTGGGGAGGCATGCCTCCCGACCCCCTAGAGTTTTCCTCTTTTTTTTTTTTCAAATCTGCTCACATCCCTGAATCTTGCAACCTTGAAACTTGACTGTATGTCATAGGGTATTGTGACATGTTTGAAGAATTTGTGGTACTGTATTGTAAATTTTGGCCGATGGTTTCAGATAACCAAGAGCAGCAAGAAGAAGGGCAGCAGGAGCAGGGTGAGGTCGGGGGATGGAGGCAACAAGGAGAACCGGGGGGATAAGGGGGTCGCGAACAAACATGGAGATGCGAAAAATGGTATGTTGGACATCTTTTGTATTTCCCTTCTATTTGTTGTTTTTTTTATTCACATCTTTTACAGAAAATATGAGATGTTTTACTCCAATACACTCTCTATTATTCGTATGATCTGAGGACACCTCCGACCCGTGAAGATCCGGGGTAGAATAGGTCTTCAGCAACCCATGCTTGCTGTAAAAGGCTACTATGCTTGTTGTAAGAGGTGACTAACGGGATAGGGTGGTCAGGCTCACTGACTTGGTTGATACATGTCATCGATCCCAATTGTGTGGATCAATGCTCATGATGTCAATCACTGGATTGTCTGGTCCAGACTCAATTATTTACAGACTGCCGTCATATAGCTGGAATATTGCTGAGTGCGGCGTTAATGAACAAACGAAATGAAACGAGGACACCTCCATAGAAGGCCACGTCAGGTGAACCCTGATCCAACTTTGACTGCTCAATCTAGAAGAAGTCTGAAGATCTGGGTTAGAATTAATCTTTGGCAAGCCATGCTTGTCGTAAGTGGCGTCTAACAGGATTGGGTGGTCAGGCATAGTGACTTCGTTGATGCATGTCATCCTTCCCTAATTGTGATGTTCAATGTTCCTGATGTCAATCACTGGATTATTTATAAACTGCTGTCATATAGCTAGAATATTGCTGAATGTGTCGTTATATATGTTCGTTTGAATGATTCTCTCATTTGTACAGAGAAATTAGAAGTCTCGATGTTCACCTTTCTGTGATTCAGCCTCTCATGGAGGATCCTGAATCATGTCAATAACAAATAAATCCCTACTGTTTTTTCAATATTTGGGAACAACTCGTGCCACAATTAACCTGCATTTTCTTTGTTGTTAGTTAATGATATGGTTGCACAAAAAGACATATGTCCTTCAATCGCTGCTCGTTATGGCCTGTCATGTTTGTTACACAAAGTTCCAAGGATTGCAAGAATTCACAGAATGTATCCTGCAGAGCTATCTATGCCAACTGTCAAGAGGAGCATGTATTTATTGACTGGTCGTATGATGACATCACAGTATTTAATCTCGTCAAATTGCCATAATATATTCAGGGTATATTGAGAATTGTAGTGTATACACTCAAGGATTAAAGATGGTCAAACCAAACAATATTTCTTCAGCTTGCCAGTAATCAGGGGTCCGGAAAATTTAAAATCCCAATCGGACATTTGCATTTAGGCCACGCCCCCTTCAAATAGCGTATTTTAGTACGACTTTTCACACACATTACAAGTTTACGTATTCATAATATGATGAATTATGAATTGTTTCAATTCAAATTGTTTAATTTACCGGACGATTAATAACAAATAATATCATTTTAGATTTACATGGAAAAAATACCTTTGTTTCTGTTATAATAACGATCTGTTAACGTAGTGAACGGTCTAATTAATATTCATGAGTTATATTCATGAGTCTGCTCAAGTGTACGCGTTGTAACATTTGGATCGAGACTATTATCCCATATTTGGTTATCACGTGACCTCACGGGAAAAGGGTTTTTTTTAAACTAAAGATTTTTTTAAAAACAAGACAGATATTTTAATCACAAATACTCGTTGATAGCAATAGTTATTTGAATACTTTTTTCATCTGTACTTAATTATTGACCATAAAAAAATTGGATATCGATCGTCCGAGAAAGCAAAATGGCGGTCAATCAAGATTCAATATACGACTAGCTACTGAAAACAATAAAATCTGCAAATCCTCATTGTTTGGCAGATCCGCCCGACTGATCTGCATCGGTCGACTGGCTGTCGTCACGCTTTCGCTTCTTGTCTGAGGTTACGTATCGTAGCATTGTGAGGATAATGAGGTACATCGATGATGCAAGGTATTAATGTACAGTTGTAAACACCTTTCACTCAAATTAAGAAGATGTTCTCAGTAATTAATCCTCGATTAATCAGTGTCAACTCAGTTTATTGCCTATTACAGTGATTGACAGATTGGACTATCATGTAGGTACGATGTATTTACAGCAATCAAAACAAACAAAGCTTGTCAGTGTAGTTAATCTTCATTGTGTTGCAACTGCAGACAGAATCAGTCCTAACTGTTGATCATGTCCGGTCAAAATTTAAGAATGTCCGGACAATACTTTTTAAAATGTCCGGTAAGCAATATTTTAAAACGGACATTTGAGATTCCCAATCGGACATGTCCGGCGCATATGACGGTTTCCGGACCCCTGCCAGTAATTAATATGTTTTGGTTTGAATTGTTCACAGAATCTACCAAGGAAAGAACAAAGAGGACTAAAAAGAAGGCATGTAAAGCTGGTACTGAGAACAGTGCTTCGCAGGAGAGCTGTGGGGGATATCCTCTCAAGGCATCCAAGGCCAGGACTGACCTCACAAGAGAAATCAAGAAGAAGAAAAAAAGTTCAAAAGCCTCACAAAGTCCACCGGAATGTAGTGAATCTAAGAATGAAAGCAACCCAAGACTCTCAGGTGGCAATTCTGAGAATTCAGATGTGTTTCCAGAGATGCCGTCATTGCTAGAGGATATTGGTGCACCACTTGTGGAATCAACTCGAATTCACAGCCGTGAGAGTCTCAGTCTGTATAAACTTCAGGACAGTTTTATGTCCAGTGAGAGCTGTGATTCTAGTGCTGTTCATGACCAAAGCTCATTCAATAAGTTGGAAGGAGGCCTATCTGATGGAGCAAGGTATTTCAGGACTGACAAAACACTGATCCGAATTCGCAACAGTCTAACTGCAAATGAGCTGAAAAAGAAGCAGCTGGATTCCTCCTCAGAGAACTATTACTCTGTTATTGGGGAAAGCATTGCCGAGGAAGACAAGGATGAGTACTATAGTGTCCTGGAGGAGAGCCCTGTAGGCTGTGAATCTGTTAAATGTAAATCTGAACACGGGGACAAAGCAGTTACGATCAAGGAGTCTGGAGATGAAGAGGAGTCCAAAGGTTTACTCCAGACACAGAAGAGGATGGAGCTTGAAGATGAAGAGGAGTCGAGAGGCTTACTCCAGACACAGAAGAGGTTGGAGCTATGTCTGGAACCTGTACAGGGAGACATGGGCGTGGAACCTCTACATGGGCACACGGGCATGGAGCCTGTACATGGAGATGCAGGCATGGAACCTGTCCTGCAACGTTGCCATGGAAACTCAGGAATGAGGTATAGGGAAGTGTGTGAGCCTGGTGTAGGGAGTGATGAGAGTGATGGGTCGTATTATGAAGTTGAAGATGCCTGTGCTCAGACAGACCTTGATGATCGACAGCTGGATGCTGTGGGGCATGGTGTCAAGGTCATTGCTTCGGGGAGTTCAGATGAAGGTGGCAATAGTGAAAGTGATTTGGAAGATGGTGATGCTGCTACTGTTATAGAGAACAAACTTGGAGTCACAGATCTGTGTGACAGACTCATGGGGCTCCAGCATGAATCGAATGATGATGATGATGATGAAGATGATGATGATGATGATGATGATGATGGTGGTAGTGGGGGAGGCAGTAGCATTAAGAGGGTATCAGAAGGGTCGGAGAAGGAAGACGATATAACAGGTGAATCATCACCTTCTGATTCAGAGGGAAAGGTGCTAACCAGAAAACATGTGAGACACATACAAGACAGTCCTGGAGAATCTGAAGGGTCGTTTTATGAAGTTGTTGACCAGTGTGTTCAGACTGATGTTAACGTGTCTCAGACTGAAGATGCTGCTGATGTTGTTACACCGTGTACACAGAAAGGGGCAGGGGCTGATGGAGCATGTACGAGCCCATACTTCCCTCCAAGTAACCAGGTGAAGAGTCAGCCAAGTTTGTTAAAGAATTCCAACAGTGGAACTCCAACTCTGGCTGAGCTGAAGTCCGCAACTTATGAAAAGTTACGAATGTCTGTGAAACGGTTCAATAATACACCTCAAGGCTCGTCAGGACGATTGATGGACAATGTATTGAAGAAGATTAACCTTTTTGGATCCAACGCAGGTCATTCTAGTTTCAAAGTCTCCAGTGGGAAGGATGGAAAAAAGGTTGAGGGTCAGGAAAATGTCAAGCCATCAACTGATAAATTAGATGAGAAATTGTCAAAAAATGACAGAACAGAAGTAAAAAATGCTGATGATGATAGCAGAGATGCTAAGACTGCAGAGGATGTTGTTCAGGCGAGGAAGAGTTGCACTGACAGGCATTTCTCCGATATTATTATGAGTGGACAGGAAGACAGTACATCATCAGGGAGGGATGTCAGAAAATCCAGCAGCAGTGAGTCCTTCCATGAAACCCACCAAGTATCGGATGCTGAGAACAAGGCTGTAAAACCTGCCCACAAAGACAGGAAAGCCGTAGAAAATATTGTAGAAAATTTACAAAAAATGTCCTTTGGGAGTAAGGTTGGTTGTAAGGAAGATAACAGCGTGAGAGGCATGCCGATTGAAACACCGAGCAGAAGGCTGAAGCTGTCGTTGAGGAAGAACAGACCTGTGAAGAAGGTGTCGTCTGCTTCGTCAGGCAGCACGGATGAACATCCCGGAAGGAAGGAGCTGTACAAGACAGGCTATTCATCACCTGACTACAGTGCAGAGTCTCCCAAAGGATTAGACGATCATACAGGATTGACGTCTAAGTGTGGCACGTCAAAGGAAAAATGTAAACCAACTTTTACTGTTCCAGACTCACCACCCCAAGGGAGTGCACTGAGTGAACAGGCGAATGAGGATGAGTTAGTTTCTGATGGGGAGACCGGTGTGCCTGACTCTCAACCCCCTTTGAATGAGAATAGACTAGTTCTCCAGGCAAATGAAGAGAATCTATTTTCAGATGAAGAGGAGGCAGCTGTGCCAGATTCTCCAACCCCAGAAAAGAAGGACAGACCAACCCATGAAAAGATTCCTCATTCAGATGAAAGGGTGGCAGGTGTGTCGGATAGTTCTTCTGATGAATTCCATAGCATTCATGTACCTGAAACGTCCAAAATACCTACGTCGAGCAGATCTGGTACGGATAGGAAGACTCACCCAAAAGAAAAATATACGGTTTCGGACAGCTCATCTGAAGACTACGAGAATATGGTGAAGAAGGCTAAGGAGAAGAAAGGGAAGAGAGTGATGGAGAAGAAGTCAGTGAGCCGGAGTCGGAACGACTCACTGCCAGACCGTGATGCCAGTCCTGACCTGGATGATAGATACTGTGTCACTGTGGGGAATGCAACAACATGGAGGTAAGATCCTGTTCACAATCACCTTTACTGACCAGGGGCGATCGGGTAGCCTAGTGGTTAAAGCGTTCGCTCGTCACGCTGAAAACCCAGGTTGACATGGGTACAATGTGTGAAGCCCATTTCTGGTGTCCCCTGCCGTGATATTGCTGGAATATAGCTAAAACCTCACTCACTCACTCACTCACTCACTCACTCACTCACTCACTCACTCACTCACTCACTCACTCACTCACTCACTCACTCACTCACTCACTCACTCACTCACTCACTCACTCACTCACTCACTCACTCACTCACTCACTCACTCACTCACTCACTCACTCACTCACTCACTCACTCACTCACTCACTCACTCACTCACTCACTCACTCACTCACTCACTCACTCACTCACTCACTCACTCACTCACTCACTCACTCACTCACTCACTCACTCACTCACTCACTCACTCACTCACTCACTCACTCACTCACTCACTCACTCACTCACTCACTCACTCACTCACTCACTCACTCACTCACTCACTCACTCACTCACTCACTCACTCACTCACTCACTCACTCACTCACTCACTCACTCACTCACTCACTCACTCACTCACTCACTCACTCACTCACTCACTCACTCACTCACTCACTCACTCACTCACTCACTCACTCACTCACTCACTCACTCACTCACTCACTCACTCACTCACTCACTCACTCACTCACTCACTCACTCACTCACTCACTCACTCACTCACTCACTCACTCACTCACTCACTCACTCACTCACTCACTCCTTTAATGACCAAGACGTCATTGTTCCAGACTAACATCGGCAATATTAGACTAAAATTATTTTGCCTAGCTTTTCTAAATATGCTAAAACATATTCAAGTTGTTGGTCTGATTATTTGACTGGCCCTAAACTCTTACAAATTTCATTTATGTGGTCAAAAGATAATATTAGCATGAACTTGCCCTCCAGGATACAAGTTTCCCTGCACAAAACACAATGGGAAGTAACTCTGTCAGCAAAACACAGACTCATTTACCTTGGCAGAATCAGGCTGTTGTATTCTTGGAGTAAGTTTACTGAGGGACGACTATTTGATATTTTGGTTGGTGTGGTGGGGTTATCAAAAAATATATCTTATCCCCGAAAATCTTGAAATAAATAATTATGCTTGCATTGCAACAAAAAAAAGAAAATGCCTGCCACAAAACATATTTTGTTGCAAGGTGTTTTCTTTAAAAATAAATAAATGGCTCATAGTTGTAAATGAAAAAAATATATCTGTTTTTTTAGCTGTAGCTGAAATAATCTTGATACAAAATCCCATCATGATATCACGTTGGTAATATCTATAACTATTAGAAAATCTGTATACATGATATTACATGACACACTCAGCATGCGGCATCATTCTGTCCACAGAGACAGCACAGCTGCTGGGGACTCCAGTGAGGAGGAAGATGTCGAGGCCTGTGAGTTGTCAGATACCAGGGTTTCCTGTATTGGGGCAAACTGGTGTCCGTTCCACAAAGCAATCTTAGCACTAAGGTGATTGTAGCCCCCGAGTCCCATACTTTAACATAGACATGTGCTACCATCACTTTGTGGAACAGACCCCAGGATCAGTTCTGTGTTTTGTTTTAACTTGGAAAATACAACCCGGCGCACAGCAACTATCTACATAAACTGACACCCACACATGAAGACGTTACCTTCATATTAGACACAATCGGAAGGTGGGGTCTTTTTGTTCGAAAATGTTATAATTTAAATTATATCTGTTTTGGGGATTGGGTATTTGTGCTTTTAAAATTTGTACTTTTAGATTCAAGATGTATTTAAATGAGGTATATTTTCCTTTGTGATTTTAAGAATTTAAGAATGATTCCGTTTCTGGCGAAAAATGATGAGAATATGGACAAATGTTAAATGTTACTTAAGGAACATTTGAAGTATTGTTATATGACTATGGAACATGTTCAACAAGTACACAAGTATTTCTAAAATGAAAGCAATTGAATTTTTGAGAAAGTCTTTTGAGATAAAGTTTTCACCATATGCTTTTACTTGCTACTGACTGACAATACTCAGATAATCAGTTTGGGTTAAAGACCTCCTCATGTTCAAATATTAGAAAAAGTCTACTTCAAAACCTTAACATTGCTTAAATCAGGATTTTTGACGCATTTTAGTGACATATTTGGTACCATGACATGCAAGTGGGGAAGAAAATATAGCTGATTACTGTTAAAACGATTTCTAAATGTTTTACTCATTTCAAATTATAGATTTTGTGGGGCAGAAATGGTGCTTATCATACCAAGTATGTGAATCAAGGTTAGAACTGTTGAAGGCAAATGGGTTTTAAAACAACTCCTGTCATGTAAGAAGTAACAGACATATTCTGATTACAGTTTTCAAGAAAATGAAAAGCCAAAAGAAGACCCAAAAACCAAAGTTGTCCTCCGAATCCTCAGATTCAGACAGGTAAGAAATGGTTCTTTCCATGCATGGCGCCACTCACTCGCTGAGATTGATTTGCAGGAATGGTTTTTCAACTACAACCGCTGTTGTGTAGTCAATAAAGTGTGTGCCCAGAAAGCGGAAGGTTGTCGGAGTGAAACGATACTTTGGATCGTGATTTTTCATGTGATGATACGATACTAGTTCACTACTGAAAATGACCATTATGAACATGTGTCTACAGCCAGCTTTGCCTTTTGAACCTGCTCTGAAATATTTGTTGTCAAGGAAGTTTCGATGTAATTTGACGTAATTTTGCGATATGTATTGTATCGTGAATTATGTATCGTGATACGTCTCGTATCGTGACCTTTCTGTATCGTTTCACCCCTATCGATATTGCATGTGCCCAGAAAGCGGAATGTTGGTGGTTTGATTATGTACACCAACATGCATATCCTGATGGAAACGAATAAGGGAACAATGAAAAATATAAGGAAATCAGCCTTCTGGCAGTACATTTGAAATGGCGTGCATACAAATTCAACACATGTCAGAATCAAATATCGAGATGTGTTTGTGTGCATTGTTTCCAACGCATATTTGGTAGACAAGGCTGGGAACCTATGGTAGCATATAATCTTACTGTGTCACAAGCTTGAAGCTTCATTTTCATCAGTATATTTTCTTTCATGGTAAGGTTCAATAAGTTTAAGCTAAATACATTCATCCTCAACACATGGACAGTCATATGTAGTCAACCTGGCTGTTCTATGGACATTGAAACCCGTGAAGATTTGGGTTAGAATAGGTCTTCAGCAACCAATACTTGAGTAAAACCCGACTATGCTTGTCGTAAGAGGCATCTTAAGGGATCGGGTGGTCAGGCCTGCTGACTTGGTTGATGCATGTCATCAAATTCCAATTGCGTCAATTGATCCTCATGATATCAATCACTGGATTGTCTGGTCCAGATTATATACAGACCATCCTCATATAGCTGGAATACTGCTGATTGTGGCCTAAACAACAGACAGACAAACAATATCAGACATTGATCAGTGACGTTGTTATCTAGATAATGTGATTGAAGCACCCCACAAATCATTACTGCACCATCTACAAGTAAGTATAAGATATACTGTGTGGATGGACTTCTTTACTACAATTAGGAGAGACGTTTCGGTGTATGTTCTCACAACGTTATCAAGCAAGTGATGTACAAAGTATTGTTGACAAGTATATATACAGGCAGGAGGTGGTGCTTATACAGTTGAGTAGGTTTGGATGTAGTTACAATGGAGTGAAGAAGCCTGTTATGTGCACAAAAGGGGTGGTATAAGGTACACATCTGAACAGTTGGAGCCAGTAGTAAAAACAAAAGGATTATGACTGATTGGGGTCTTGGATGAGTTGATGGTACGCTGGGGGTATGTAATATCCTTGATTATGGTTGGTTGATGGTTGGAGTCTTTGATGTTGATGGCTTCTTGTAGTTTTCTGAATTAGAAGTCTTTGAGGCTGGTGGTGAGGGTCTTTGATTTTGTCCCACTGGAAGCTGTGGCTTGGGTTGTTATGGATGTGGTTTGATAGAGCTGATTTAGAGTCAACTTTGGAGGCGGCTGAGCTTTGATGTTCTTTTATTTGTGTTTTGAGGGGCAGCCTGTAAAGGATTGAAACTGGACAAGACAATCCTATTATGAGTCACCGAGCCTGACAGCCCGTTCTATTAAGTCGCCTATTTAACCAGCATTGTTGCTGGGGACCATTTCTAACCTGGAGTCCCCACAGGGTTCCTTTACATGACTCTGAATGTAAAATATAGTGATCTGAGATATTCTCTTTTCCTTGTGCATGTTGTAGAGTCTCCTCATGTAATTCTATGTGAAACCATGTACACTGCTACTGTTGTTCCAGACTGCCTCCGTGTTCTCGTGGTAGAGTGTCCACCCAGAGAGCGGAAGGTCCGGGGTTTGATCCCCGGCCGCGTCATACCAAAAGACGTTAAAAGATGGTACTTGTTACATTCAGGGGCTAAATGGCGGCTCAGAGTCAGTATACTGTGTAGTGGTGTATTCATTTTAAACTGCGGCATGGTATCTCAGAGTGCTAGCACTATTAATCGACATTTGTCCGGACTAGTAAAAGCAGCCACACACGCTATATAAGTGCAATAAGTGCAATAATCTTGGACATGACACTAAACTCACCTCACCTCACTTTCTGTTGTTCCAGTATGAAGGAGTTTATAGATGATGACTCCATTGTGAGCAGTGACTCGGAGGATGACGTCTTCTACCTGAAGGTGGACAACAGTAAGAAGGATAAGCAGCCACCAAGGTAAGCTGCGGGGCCTGCAGGAAGGGTAGCACCCTTGGTAAATTCTCTTGTGTGTTCTTGTTCAGGTGCCGGTTCTCCTCGATTTTGTTTCTAGGTTTGTCAGCACCATACTCGTGCTCGTGGGTTTCACCGAAGTGGTAAACATCTGAGACCTGCATCACTTCAGGCTTTCCTTCTACATTAAGCTGACACACCATGATATAACTGGAATACTGTCAAAAGCGGCGTTAAATCCGACTCACTCACTCTTGTTCCGGTGGGTGGGGTGGGTGGATCACTGATGGCTTGGTCGACTTGGCAGCACAACTCTCAACATATATGGTGATTCTAGGTTGTGTCCCTCAAGTGTGCCAAAATCGTATGATTTGAATTATAATTTCCAGGTTCAAATGGATTCTTAGTTTGACTGCACCATACCACTGCTTGTGGGTTTCACCAAAGTGGAAAATGTCCTGCTTGGCTTGTAGTGTCTCAAACAATGTTAAACCAAACTCACTGACTCTTCCAATTAGGGGCCAGTGGTCCGTTCTTCCCAGCTGTCAGAACTGTTGTATTCTTAGCTGTGCTGGGATCTTATGTTCTTATGAACTTAGGGGGGTTAAATCCAATATTTTGGAATGTGAGTTTGTAACATACCTCCTTCCTTTTGATCTTAATGACCTAAGTCCATAATTGTTAACATTATTTCTTTGTGTAATGCCATCATATTGTCATTGTTTCCTTTCTTGGGTCATGTCGGATATTCACTGTTCCCAGAAATGAATTATTCCAAGCTTATTAACACATGGCGCAAGGCGCAAGACTCCAAAATATATGTCAGTTTCTAAGTGTCTTTGGCAGGCAATTTTTTTGGGAAAAAAATTGTTATATTGCTCAACTTTGTCAGTGAAATAAAAGTCACTTCTACAAAGCTATGCCATTTGTTACCATATAACATGAATTGTTATTTCTGTTTGGGAAATTTAACCGATTTGGGGCTGAATATCGACCTCTGAGCAGGTCCAGATAAATCTCTCAGATGTATCTATTAGTCAAGCCATCTAGGACTGCAATACAACTCACAGCAATGTTTCCTCCTTGTAGGATCCCTGAATATCTGACCAGTGACGAGGAGAATGACGCGACTGATGAAGATGGCGACAGGACTTATGATGAAAGCAGTGAGGAAGAGGAATATCAACCAAAGACGTCACGGAAACATATGACAAAGGAAACAACAAGTATGTACAAACAAGTTAGAGATTTTCAAGAATTGTAAAATGTTACTACTGCGTTGAGGCCAGAATACCAAAATGTCCTATTTTATTGGAAAATTGACGTCCAGAGCATAGTTGCCCTTTAATGTGTTGCGTTTTGTCACCCCCTTCAAGAGCAGCTTGTTATTTCTCCAGAGACACCAAAGATAGTCCACAGGAAGTACGAGACACCCAAAGCTCAGATTGTATCTCGGATACCCAGCTCGGCCAAGTCTAGTGTTACCAGCTCAGCCAGCCGTGTGAAAATATGTAGCTTCCTCCAGTCCCTGACTGCCGACCTGCCCGACCACAGGAGACATCCGGACGCCTCCACGTGAGTTGTGTCTGAAGAATATGTTGGACATGTTTGTCTCACTGTCAGAGACTGAGCGAGCAGGGTTAAGTTGCCTACAGCGATAATCACATGGCGTATGGGTTTATGTTTAAAAAGTCCCAATGTGACGTTTACCATTCCTCAGTCTTGCTTGTGATGATTCCTAGGTTGACTTGTTTTACAGTGTGGGGTAGCCTAGTGGTTAAAGTGTTTGCCTGTCATGCCAAATGCTTTGTTCGATTCCGATGAAGCCCATTTCTGGTGGTCCCTCTCTTGATGTTGCTGGAATATTGTTAAGAGTAGCCTGATATAGGTCTAAAAGTGGAGTCACCCAGCTCGCTCACTGTTACTTTATGGTGAATTTTCATTCATTGGAATCTCAAGGGTAGAATTTAGAATTTAGCTGGCTGCAACGAATAAACTATGAGGCGAATACCATTCGTATAATGAATATAGGGTAACGAATACGAATAATAAATCATGAATACAATAACGTGTCAGCAGGTGATGTATTATTTGTTATATTCAGTGAAGCAATAACAACGTGAATTAGTTGACATGGTTTGTTAATAATTAATATATTATACATTTATATACTGCACTTATCCAGGTACTAGTATCTGCTCAAATGTGACAATGACCAGTGACCACAATACTGTCAAATTAAATATTATAAGAGGGTTGTCTTTGAAGAAATCTATGCATATAATGTGTTCTTATGGATATTTTTAGGTACAGGGTATGTAAATGCGCATGATTGCATATTCTTAAATATTTGATTCTTGTGGCCACGAATAACGAATTCAATTCATGAATGGATACGGTTCGATTCCCCGAATATGCGTGTAAATCGTAACAGCCCTAGAATTTAGTAAACCATAAATACTGATGAAATTTCCTCATTGTAGTAGACAAAACCACCTTCATAGTGTGGTGGATTGAGCCCCGATAGAGGAAGGTTGGGGGTTTAATCTCCTGGCCCAGTCAAACCAACTTCTTACATTATCAGTGTTTCTAGAAGGGAGATAACTCTGCTTGCTTTCTCGAAAATTGGTGAAATCTTGAGCATGAATATTGTTCTGTGTCTAGGAATTTAACTCATGATCACCAGATTGGAGCTAAAGGATGCAGTCTTATTCTCTTTCCTCTGAAATTGGAAATCATCCTCTTGGATGAGGACAGTTAGATTTGTTTGCTTCTCAGTTCTGAGGGTGTTCAAACAGGTTTTTGTCCTGGCCAAATTTAAAAATTCATGATTGAGAAAATAAACAACCAAGAATTATTACATCCTTTTAAACACTGAATCATTCACCATGATAAATGTGTAGCAAAAGAAGTTAAAGAACACATTATGTTTCCATATGACTGTAGTTAAACCGTCATGGCTGGTGAACATTGCAACACGCAGTCTTCTAATTGTGGGCATTCTTTATATCTGGCTTGTAGGATCATCCTGTATGTGCATCACCCTCCTTTCATTTATTACTTATAGTTCAGGTTACACTGAGAATTTTGTGAAACACTACGGAAGATGATACCTGCCACATGGCCTTGTTTATTAGTAAACAGACTTGTACTTCAGATATGTGAAGCAGTTCAAGAAATACAAGATGGAGCTGACTCAGCGTCTGTACAAGTTGTACAACCAGACAGTGTTTGATCAGAAGGTATGTGCAAGGTTCATTACCTCACCTCATGCCCTGGCAGAGAGGGGTACAGTGGTATCAGGTGCTGCCATTTATCGTGGAGAGTTGCATCCCTTAGCTTTGCCAGAAACCTGCATCATTGAGATGGGCATGTTATTATCCCCCGCCGCGCGAAAGCGCGAAGCGGGGGATATAGTATTCACGACCGTCCGTACGTCCCACCTGTTTGTTGCCGCGATATCTCAAGAACTAAACACTGGATTGTCTTCATATTTGGAACTATGGTGTATATACAGACTCCGCAGACACCAGTCGGTTTTGGTGACCTTGATCCCATTTTCAAGGTCACAGCAGACAAATCTGCTTTTAGAGTTGGAAAACGGTGTTGCCGCGATATCTCAAGAACTAAACACTGGATTGTCTTCATATTTGGAACTATGGTGTATATACAGACTCCGCAGACACCAGTCGGTTTTGGTGACCTTGATCCCATTTTCAAGGTCACAGCAGACAAATCTGCTTTTAGAGTTGGAAAACGGTGTTGCCGCGATATCTCAAGAACTAAACACTGGATTGTCTTCATATTTGGAACTATGGTGTATATACAGACTCCGCAGACACCAGTCGGTTTTGGTGACCTTGATCCCATTTTAAAGGTCACAGCAGGCAAATCTGCTTTTGGAGTTGGAAAACGGTGTTGCCGCGATATCTCAAGAACTAAACACTGGATTGTCTTCATATTTGGAACTATGGTGTATATATACAGACACCGCAGACACCAGTCGGTTTTGGTGACCTTGACCCCATTTTCAAGGTCACAGCAGGCAAATCTGCTTTTGGAGTTAGAAAACGGTGTTGCCGCGATATCTCAAGAACTAATCGCTGGATTGTCTTCATATTTGGAACTATAGTGTATATACAGACACCGCATACACCTGTCAGATTTGGTGACCTTGACCCCATTTTCAAGGTCACAGCAGGCAAATCTGCTTTTGGAGTTGGAAAACGGTGTTGCCACAATATCTCAAGAACTAATCGCTGGATTGTCTTCATATTTGGTACTATGGTGTACAGGCGGGGGATATTTCGTCACTCTGTGACAAATACTTGTTTTCAATACATTCATGAACCATAGACTTTTAGTCTATTAAAATGCATGTCTTAATGTTTTAAGCATTTATTCTAAAGTAGGTCCTTTACTGTTTTTTACCATGTTATCTTTGATGTGTAACCCATGAAGATCCTGGCTAGAATAGTCTTCAGGAACCAATGATTGCCGTAAAAGATGACTGTGCTTGTCGTTAAAGGCGACTAACGGGATAGGGTGGTCAGGCTCGTTGACTTGGTTGATGCATGTCATCAATCCAAATTGCGTGGATCGATTCTCATGTTGTCAATCACTGGATTGTCTGGTCCAGGCTCGATTATTTACAGACCGCCGTCATATAGCTGGAATATTGCTGAGTGCGATGTTAAACAAAAAACAAACAAACATCACTGACATGTATCTATCTATCAGTCACAAGGGTGCCCAGTTGGCCCATTTTCTGACACCGCAATTCACTGTGCAGAAACCTATGGTCTTGGGTTCAAATCCCAGGTTGACAAATCCCAGGTGGACCCTGATTATGTTTCCAGGTTTCTCAGCACCATACACTTGCTTGTGGGTTTCACCAAAGTGGTTAATGTCCCAAACATGCATCACTGTAGGCTGTCATCCCACATTAAGCTGACATACAGTGTTATAACTGAAATACTCAAAGCAGAGTAAAACCCAACTCACTCACACAGAGTATTTAACCTTTCGAAGTTAATGTTGATTATACAGATTATTTAATCTAACTGTCCACAAAGGAAAGGGGATTACTATTTCTGTTACTAGACATCACAATTTCATAAATAAAAAAGATTGTGCACATTTCTCTAAAAATTTTAACATATGGCATTAAACCCAGCTCTGACCCGGGGTAGAATAGGTCTTCAGCAACCCATGCTTGCCGTAAAAGGTGACTATGCTTGTTGTAAGAGGGGACTACCGGGAAAGGGTGGTCAGGCTTGCTGACTTGGTTGATGCATGTCATTGTATCCCAATTACGTGGTCAATCCCATGAGGTCAATCACTGGATTGTCTGGTTCAGATTGATTATTTACAGATCCCTGTCATATAACTGGAATATTGCTGAGTGCCGTGTAAACAACACTTTAAGCATATCACATCATGATTTGTTACTGCAGCTTCCGTCTTCCCTGGAGATCGGGTGGAACAATCGTCTGCTGAAGACAGCGGGGTACTGCAAGTACATCAGGGGACACACTGCCAAGGTGGAGCTGTCCGACAAAGTCTGTGATTCTGCCGGTAAAACATTCCTCCATCTTGCTTGTGATGATTCCTACATCAATAATGGACGTCACACAGAATTATGTGTAGTAACTGTTCATGAACAAGCAGTGAGATATGCTGGGTTAACTTATTGTTGTTGTACAGTGTGGGGTAGCCTAGGGGTTAAAGTGTTTGCCTGTCATGCCAAATGCTTTGTTGGATTCCTAAGAAGCCAATTTCAGGAAGTCCATGTCTTGATGTTCTGGAATATTGTTATGAGTAGCCTGATATAGGCCTAAAAGTGGAGTCACCCAGCTCGCTCACTGATACACGGGAAAAATTACATTCACAAGTTATAATTTCTTTGGCAAGCACCGTTTTAAAAATTCTGCATGTTACGGATGGAAAGATAAATATGTAATATATTCAAAGATTTAATTAAGAATACAGAGACTTCAGTTAGTCATTTACCATGCTTAAATGTACCTGAAATATCCTTTCCAAATCCTATGTATAAGTTTCACTCCCCTTCAGCTGTAACGATATACGTATAACAATTAACATGTGAACCAGGCTGTTTGATTTAGAAGGCACTTGTTGTGTTGTCAGAGCGAGTGAGGGACACCCTCATCCATGAGTTGTGCCATGCAGCATCCTGGACTCTCAACCACAAGAACGATGGACACGGGCCGTACTGGAAATACTGGTAGGTGTCACGCCAAAGTATTCATACTGGAAATACTGGTAGGTGTCACGCCAAAGTATTCATACTGGAAATACTGGTAGGTGTCACGCCAAAGTATTCATACTGGAAATACTGGTAGGTGTCACGCCAAAGTATTCATGCTGGAAATACTGGTGTGATAAGGATCTGTCATTAACTTTTACATTTATAACATTACAATACCTATGATTGAATTATTCCAGCTATGGTGTCTCGAAATACTGCTCACAGAATTCCAAACCATTCTTAAATTGTTTTACTGCATTTTACTCATCTCTGAAAAATACAAGGCCTTCTCAGCTTTATTGTAGGCAGTTTTGCAAGAATAATAGTGTTTTTTCTGATCTATTGCACCAATTTGCAAACTCTCTATTAATGTTTGTCACCATAATAAGTTTAAGTGTCAGAAAATTATTTCTTTCTTTATTTAAGTGCTCCAGATCCTTGTGGTTCTATGTGAAGCTTTTCGTTTTGAAATTGATTTTTTTTTCTTTTGAAAGATCTTGGTGAATTAATTCCAATTCTAATTCTAATTCTATATTCAGTACTTGTGTAGACCTACGGCCCATGGTACAATTGGGGGTAGACAGACGACAGTATGACCAAACGCCTATTGATGGTGTGATGTACAAACATCTGAATTAAGAACATTTTGCCAAATTTCTATTCATTTTAACCAAAATAAAGAAAAAAGGAAAAACACATTGTTTTAAAAGGCAATAATATATTTTAAGTTTTATCCTTGTCAGCATGTGAATTAAGATGTAATAAATATGTGGCCTTATGCTGTTACGGCCACAAAGTTAAAAGTTGGTGTAGTTATCTCCCTTTATCAATGCATCACTGTTTGTTGATTCAGTTTGATTACAATGAAATAAATATTTGGTTTGTGCAGGGCACGTAAAGCCAATCAGACCTACCCTGACATCCCCATCATCAGCCGATGCCACGACTACGCCATCGCCACCAAGTACACCTACCAGTGTGTCAAGTGTGGATACAGGTGTGTAGCACAGTACTCGAGAAGCCATCAACAATATTCCAGCTATATGATGGCGGTCTGTAAATAATCGAGTCTGGACCAGACCTATTTAACCTGGATCTTCCCGGGTCTCAATCAAGTAAAGATAACAGTGTTAATCCTGACAGTAACATTTATACCCTGGGACACATTAACAGATTTTCAGATCAATGAAGTAGCAGTACTTATTGGATTAAAGGGGGGCTGTACTACACAGTCTAATGGGGGAGGAGGTGTAGCCTATCGGTGAAAGCATTTGCTCGTAACGTCGAAGGCCCGGGTTCAATTCCCCACATAGATACAATGTTTGAAGCCCATTTCTGGTGTCCCCCCTGCCGTGATATAGCTGGAACATTGCTAATAGTGGTATAAAATCATACTCACTCACTCACACTGTATTATGCCACTTTTCTGGAAGTGCACTGAGGCAAATAACACTTTGTGCAATTACTATTTTCTGTTTGCTTCGATCATTTTTTTAACTTAGTTGTGAAGCAACTAAAACATTTCTACTGTCACTGGACAGAAGCACAACACAATACATGGCTGTCATAAGGTTGGGAGAGTGCAGAAATTCTGTGGTTTATTATGTGCTGGTTGAATCTCATTGTAGCGACATCATTTTTCTGATCTTATCAAATTATGTAAATTCTGATTTGTCAAACAACATTTTTTCAAGACAAGACTGTCCAACTATACTTTATGACTTAACTGTATATTCTATGCCAAATCAATACTGGTTATTTGGAACTGACAGGTTTTCTTTCTGTAGTTATAGTTTGTGATCGGCTAAACTGTTGCTCATGCTGTCAACCACTGGTTTGCCTGTGTGACACTGGACAGGGTGGCCCAGTTGTGTAAGGTGCTGTGATTCTCTATGCAGTGTTGTGTGTCATTGTGGTGCAAGGATGATGATCAAATGATGGGTTCAAATCCCAGATTGTCCCTGATTGCAATCCTTTGTTAGTCAGCAGCATAATGTGTTTGTTGATGGAACCAAGGCTGATTCATCTGCAGCTTGTGGCAGTGAGACGTTCCTCCCTGACAAGTCATCATGTAACTGATATAAAGCTCACAACCAACTCACCAACACTAGAGGGCATGGGTGGCCCAGTCGTCTATGGCTCTCAAATTCGTGTTGCATCACTTGGGCACACCAGACACCAATGATTGTGGGTCAAATCCCGGTCTGCCCTGATAGGGACAGTTGGGTAGCCTAGTGGTTAAAGCGTTTGCTCGTCATGCCTAAGACCCGGGTTCAATTCCCGACATGGGTACAATGCGTGAAGCCCATTTCTGGTGTCCCCCTGCCGTGATATTGCTGGAATATTTCTAAAAGAGGCGTAAAACCAAACTCACTCTGCCCTGATAATGTTTCTAGGTTTGTCTGCACCATACCCATGCTTGTGGGTTTCACTTAATTGGTAAGCTTCTGTGACCTGCATCACTTCATACTTTCCTCTCACATTAAGCTGACATGTGTGATATAACTGGAATACTGTTCAAGGCGGCATTAAACCCAAATCACTCACTCACCCTCACTAAGTTATTTATAGACCAGCATGATATTGCTGGATTATTGCTGACTGCAGTTAAACATGTAATTCATGGGTAGCCCAGTCATCTTGTTTACTATACAGAGTTGGCAGGCCAGGAACCTATGATTGTGGGTTTGAATCCTGGTTTCCCCTGATTACCATATCTCGCTGGGTATAAGGCGAGTTTTTTATACCTAGAATGAGGGGGTTAAGAAGGGGTATGTTTCTGATTATGGTAAATAACTAAAGTGGTCAAGCTGACCTGCGGTGATGTAAACTAAACTCATTGTCTCTTTTCTGTTCCCAGCATTGGACGACACTCCAAATCTCTGGATACTGACCGGAAGGTGTGTGGGAAGTGCCATGGAAGGTTTGAGGTCCGTCTCTCCAAAAACTCAGCGACCTCATCGATATCCAGCACACCCAAGACACCTCGAACACCAAATAGGTTTGCCCTATTTGTGAAAGAGAAGTACGGCACTTACAAAAAGAACAAAGATTTGAAGCATAAAGACATTATGCAGCTCTTAAGCCAGGAATTTGCAGCAAAAAACAAACTGACGGCTTGATAAATTTAACATTTTGATAAGAAATGATGTATAACCTTTTTAAGGAGTTGCAAATTTTGCAATGAATTTTATGTAGATTTTGGATGTAGATTTTGTCAATCTCATTAAAACCAGATCTTAGTTCTCGCTACTGCTAAATAAAGATCTGAGGACATCCCATTACAGGTCACGTCAGACCGACCTTTTGCGAACTTTGAATTGAATGACAATAGCCAATCAGAAGGCAGCTTTATCGAGCTTTACGGCAAAAGATTAATAACTGAACAAAAGAACATTCTGGAATGATTGTATGAATACAGACATAAAGCCCATTACTGTCGTTCAGAATACCATGTGTGGTTTTTTTCGAGGTTGCACGATCCAAAATCACATTCTTACTGTCACTTTCATGATTTGATAAGCTATGCTCTGATTGGTCAGATGAAAGGTCATTCTGACATGACCCACAGTGGGATGTCCTCAGATCTTTGTTTAGCAGCACAAGAACTGAGATATGATTTTCACGAGATCGAAAATTTGTGAATCTGCCACAAACTGATAGGTTGAAAACAACTAAGTTACGTATTATGGACTAATTATGGTCAAATGAATTCTTTCTTTGCCAAGGATAATTGTTCCTCGGCTCTAAACATGCACAAATATGATATATGGCAGACTGATCTGGATACTGGAGTGGTTCATGGGTGTGGATACTGTATTAAGATTTGATAAGTATTTTACAGTTAAGCCTTCACTGAACCAGGTGGTTTGTTGGTTGGGCCAAACACATCCACTGGTCAATGATGTCTGCATTCCCTGGGGTAAACATTTCTAGTATCGATACACATGAAAGTGCTGCTGAAAATAAACCAGTAACAGTAACCATGGTTGCCCAGGTGATGCAGTCCACCGTGGTCCACTGGTCATTGTTCAAGCCTATTTACTTGTGTTCTAGGTTTGTCAGCCGTGCTGGTGGGTTTCACCAAAGTGGTAAAAGTCTAACACCTGCATCACTTCAGGCTTTCCTCTCCACTCCTACTGATACACTGATATATCTGGAACACTGCTCAAGGTAGTGATAACCCCCACTATTCACTCACTATTATAATCTGTACTTGATAGTGTGATGGGGCTAAAGATAGCTTTTGTTTCACAACATTCAAAACAGGGAAACAAAGAATGCATCAATTCAGCCTGATGTACACAGTGACGGGTCAACCGCCGCATATAGCTCGAATATTGCTGAGTGCGGCGTCAAACAACAAACAAACAGTTACGGGTCAACAGCCGTCATGTAGCTTGAATATTGCTGAGTGAGACGTCAAACAACAAACAAACAGTTACGGGTCAACAGCCGTCATGTAGCTCGAATATTGCTGAGTGCGGCGTCAAACAACAAACAAACAGTTACGGGTCAACAGCCGTCATGTAGCTCGAATATTGCTGAGCGCGGCGTCAAACAACAAACAAACAGTTACGGGTCAACAGCCGTCATGTAGCTTGAATATTGCTGAGTGCGGCGTCAAACAACAAACAAACAGTTACGGGTCAACCAACAACTAACTTTCCTCCCACAGCTGCCACTGTAATTTATCATCCAAAACTGGCTCTCACAGGAGATATCGCTTGGGTGAGATCAAGCGATATCTACACTATAGATATCGGTGCTATGAAATTGCATCACAATGCTTTGCAGACCATTGTGACGTCATTGTTACCATGAAGTCACAATCAAATGACATCACTAATGGCTACTGAAGGCGTTAGCAGTACTTTTTACACTTAAGACACTGCTTATTACTGTCTACAAACTGAAAAAGTTGGACAATTGATGTTGGATTTTAAATAAAATCTCATCCTCGTGTCTTTTGATATCAAATATATCAACACTCGTTGATACAAGTAGAAAAAATCCTCGGCACGCCTCAGAGTTTTCCCACTTTAATCAACTCGTGTTGATATATTATATTTGATATCAAAAGACACTCGGTCGAGATTCTCTATATAAAAAAACGAACCCTCTCAACCCCAGATTTTCACAATTGTGTGATCATTGATTTGTCAGCACAATACCCGGAGGTTTTCATCAAAGTAATAATGTCCATGATATGCATCACTCTGTGATTGCTTTGCAAATGATGCCAGGTTTCTGTCATTCATCCGACAGAACCAAATGCAGAATATTAGTCTGAGTTTCAAGGCCGTACCATTTTGCTGTAAGTATTAATCATTATCAATCATGCCTTTCATAGTTCCTTTTCATCAATCATGGTTCATTTGTCAGTGGTATTATGACTTAATGATGCAAATAAACTACCTCCTACACAGCACCTGTTTCGTCTGCTTGTAACTTAGTGGAGTAAGGCCAAGGGCCCATTCCATAAACCTAAGAACAGGTGGTGTCTCCCATACTTTATAAAGTTTATCATACCTTTCACATGTGATCACTTTGTGGAAGGGGCCCTGAATGGGTTGAGGGAATTGTTTTGGAGGCTTCAGTCAACAGAGTCTGGACGATACAAATCAGTGGTTGATAGTATGACCAATTTCAGTCGCTGTCAGGATACGATAAAACTCAATCAACCAGATCCTGAACACTTAGTCGCCTCTCAGGCAAAGTCATCTCCAGTGCTGGGGATCTACCATAACAGGGTCCACGAGCGCAAGATTCAATACTCTTCCAAGATATGTGGAACATCAATAAAAACCAACATTCATAAGGAGCTCAGATGTCCCAGGTGTCTAAGAGCTGTTAGCACTTGCTGTGCTGGTGTGGTAAACCTCTATGACCCTCCACACTTAGCTTTCTTCCCACATTCCACCCTGAGTGATTAGAGCCTCTGCAGGGATAGAAGGTAGTTTGAGCCCCTGGCTGACTCATACCCAATGACCTTAAACGATGGTACTTGTTACCCTGCTTGGTACTTGACATGTTTATAGAGGATTAAACAATGAGTGATCGAGTCCGTTGGCTGTGTCTTTGTAGGATATTCATGGAAAACTGCGGCATGGTATCTCGGTGGACTGGCGCTATAAAACTGGGATCAGTCCAGACTAGTACAAGTAATCATACAATCACAAATGCACACACATTGACATATTTCGGGCTTCCCTCCCATGTCAAGCTTTGACTGAAATACAATTCAAAGCCGTGCAAAACCCTCACTCAACTTGTACATTCATCTGATGAACAAAACAAACTCACTCATGAAAGGTTGCTGGTAAGCCATTATAAGATGGCAGGTGTTCCCTGCGTGGCCCTCGGCTTAAAGGGGATACAGCTGACACACTGTGATGTAACTGGCATACTGTCCAAAGTGGTGTAAAACCAACTACCTCACTGAATTTGTACATTCAACTCGCTCACCCATATCAATACATACTAATAAGGTCAACTCGTGAACTAACTCACCCATATCAATACATACTAATGAGGTCAACTCGTAAGCAAACTCGCTCACCCATATCAATACATACTAATGAGGTCAACACACTCGCTCACCCATATCATACATACTACTAAGGTCTACTCGTAAACTTACACACCAATATCAATACATACTTCGTCACGCCGAAGACCCGGGTTCGATTCCCGACATGGGTACAATGTGTGAAGCCCATTTCTGGTGTCCCTTGCCGTGATATTGCTGGAATATTGCTAAAAGCGGCGTAAAACCATACTCACTCATAAACATACTAACTCACCCATATCAATACATACTAATAATGCTAAGTCATAAACAAGCTAACTCACCAATATCAATACATATTAATAGACCGCCTCCGTGGTCTAGTGGTAGAGCGTCCGCCCGGAGAGCGGAAGGTCCGGGGTTCGATCCCCGGCCGCGTCATACCAAAAGACGTTAAAAGATGGTACTTGTTGTTGCCCTGTCTGGCGCTCGGCATTAAGCGGCTAAAACAAGGCCTGGTCGGCTCGGAGTCAGTATACTGTGTCTGAGTGGGGTATTCATGTTAAACTGCGGCATGGTATCTCAGTGTGCTAGCACTATAAATCGGCATCAGTCCGGACTAGTACAAGCAGCCACACAAACACACAAACGTTCATGCACTTCGCTATATAAGTGCAATAATCTTGGACGCGACGTTAAACCCAATTTCACCTCACCTCACCTCACATACTAATAAGGTCAACCCATAACCAAGCGTGCTCACCCATATCAATACATACCAATAAGGTCAACCCATAACCAAACGTGCTCACCCATATCAATACATACTAATAAGGTCAACCCATAACCAAACGTGCTCACCCATATCAATACATACCGATAAGGTCAACCCATAACCAAACGTGCTCACCCATATCAATACATACTAATAAGGTCAACCCATAACCAAACGTGCTCACCCATATCAATACATACCAATAAGGTCAACCCATAACCAAACGTGCTCACCCATATCAATACATACTAATAAGGTCAACCCATAAACAAACTTGCTCATCCATATCAATACATACAAATAAGCTGAGCTTCTATATGATAACCACTCTGAATGAAACGGAGCTCGAGGAAATAAATTTATTCGTTTGCATGTGTATACTTGTAATACTCGATTTTGCAGCTTCACTTCGCTTTAACAACCTTAAGCATGATGTCGGAGTTGCATTGTAATGCACTCGGGTATCATTTGAATTCCATCACATCACATCACAATGTAACTTTCCTGAGCCTTTCATGACCAACCAACCTTGATAAACGAGAGTACGCTGACAGATAAGGATTCAGAGAGGTGTTGTTCATTTTTAAAACTAAAAATAGATATGAAAAGGCCAATTTATCCTTTACGTTTTCAGGCTGTTGTCCCAGGTCTGTGAAGGGGAAATGATGACACGGTTGTATGCACCAAGACGACTGTCCTAACATGGCCCTTAACCTAATGGACCTTACGGCCGTTTTTTAATCCCATCTGCTATACATTCATCCCCAGCCACACTGAATATGAATTTGTGCTTTCCTTCTATCAGACACACCTTGTTTCTTGAACTTCAAAATATACTTAGTCATCGAGTCACACAAAGAGGCTGGACGACCTTAGGTAACACGTGACCTGAATACGTTACATTGGAATTCCTTCTCTGCACTTCAGCCATAACTATACGTACATGTGCAATGACCCATGCTCAACCTTTGCCTTTTCATATTTTTCAATGTTTATTTTTTTTAAATTTCTTGTGTTTCCAGAGAAACAATTTGAAACGAGTAGTGTTCGTTTCCCTTCAGCTAATGAATATTTCTGCATGAAACCATTATCTTTCCAGGCTGTGATTGGCTGCTATTGCTTTTCAGATATGCAAACACATTTACTGGAACAACTTCAACTGATGTATCTAAGGAGGGGGAGACATAAAATATACATTGGTTCTCAGTCATTGCGAGATATGCATTGCCGTACAGACATAATTTGATATGTAATAGAAATTTGTTCACAACCTTATCACTCAAACTTTTATTTTGCCAAAAACAACAACATTTGGGCGCAACCGAATTATCTTTTCCAAAAGTTGCATTGCACTTTGATAAAGGGGTAGCGGAATATTATTCCACATTCTGTTTGTCGAAAGAAAGAAATACGAGTATTCATCAGTGTCCTTTAACCTGTAAACAGAGGTGAAATGGGGTTTAACGTCGCATCAAAGATTATTGCACTTATATAGCGACGTGCATGTACGTGTGTGTATTTGTGTGGCTGCTTGTACTAGTCCGGACTGATGTCGATTCATAGTGCTAGGTCACTGAGTTACCATGCCGCAGTTTAACATGAATACCCCTCAGACACAGTATACTGACTCCGAGCCGACCAGTCCTTGTTTTAGCCCCTTAATGCCAAGCACCAGACAGGGTAACAACAAGTACCATCTTTTATCGTCTTTTGGTATGACGCGGCCGGGGAACGAACCCCGGACCTTCCGCTCTCCGGGTGGACGCCCTACCACTAGACCACGGAGGCGGTTCTGTAAACAGAAGTTGAATGTGATCAGCATTTCGTAGAGAAAACGTGTTATTTCATTAAACATTTCTGGATATCATTCCCAGACCGTCTCAAAGCGCACCACTTAGGAAGACCAGTCTAATATACGTTTAATTGAATGAGTGAGTGAGTTGGGTTTAACGTCGCTATGAACGGTATTCCAATTACAGCGTGACAGCTTTTGTTCGAGGAAAGCCCGAAGTGATGCAGGTCTAAGTCATTAACCACGTTGGTGAAACCCACGTGCACGGGTATGGTGTCGACAAACATAGAAACATAATCGAGGAGAACCGGGATTCAAACCCACGATCATAGGTTACTGGCTTGCCCAAGGTCCGCAACTCGAGGATCGCGAAGATCCGGAGCAGAATAGGTCTTCAGTAACTCATGCCGTAAAAGGCGACTATGCTCGTCGTAAGAGGCGACTAAAGGGATCGCTGACACGGTCGATGCATGCCATCGTATCCTAATTGTGGTGATCGATGCTCATGATGTCAATCACCAGATTGTCTGGTCTAGCCTCTATTATTTACAGACCGCCGTCAGATAACCAGTATACTGCTAAGTGCGGCGCTAAACAACAAACAAACAAACAAAAAAGAACAAAAACAATCATGTGTGAAGAACACTTACGGACATTTCCTGAAAGTGTCATGTGCCGGTCATTCTCGTGGAGTCAGTATCGCGGCTCCCCCCGCCCCTGTTTGTTCATTGCCCTATGTTGTATGTTTGTTTAATAGAAACAGCTGTATACTGTAACCGAATGTTTTAGTTCCCCTCATTTAATGTTACAGCACGATATGAAGAATATGGACAAAGTCTTAACATTACATTTTATTCATTCTTGAGATATTTTATTGCACCTATATTCACTTGAGATAAAAGTGGAATAGCACATTGTATATCACACCGAATCATACAGTATATTAGGGACTGACCATTTGATATGGGGGCCTGGGAAAAAATGTCCCCGAAAATTCTTGAAAAAAATAATTATGCTTCAGACAGTTGAAAAAAGGACATTGCCCCACTCAATAAAGTACATTTTTGCAAGGTGTTATTCATAAAATAACATTCAGGCTCATAGTTTTAAATAAAAAAACATATTTGGTTTTGTAGCTCAATAAATGTCGAATCTCGATACATAAATAAATCTCTTCCATGGACCAAAATACTTTCACGAGGTTGTCATTGGGTTTCAAAATCACCCCCATGGACCAAAATACTTTCACGAGGTTGTCATGGGGTTTCAAAATCACCCCCATGGACCAAAATACGTTCACGAGGTTGTCATGGGGTTTCAAGGCCGAAGACTTCATATTCCAGATATGTAATTGTTTTGTCAACACTGATATTTACCAACTAGATACCATGGTTGTCATAGGGTATCAGTTCCGTGTCCAACATAGAACGTAATACACCTCCACTAGCCGAAACACTTCTAGGATGTTGCTTATTCATGTTACGTATTTGGGCAATACTGCACCTTCAATATTTGAGTGGTGCCATGCGTAAAGTTCCCCCAACCACCGATGTTCGTCGACTAGAAACCAAAGCGCCAATGAGTCAGGTTCCTCAAGGCTTGTGGCACTCGGTAGTCAAACATGAGGAAATCGGAATAATACACCTCCATGAGCTGATCCAGCAGGCCAGGGGGGATGTCACGATAATACTGGTGCAGCAGCTTCTCGGTTCCACTGTGCTTATACGTCACAGAACGGTCGGGAAAACTCAGATGGGTGGCTCCAATCTTCGCCAACACAAACTTGGAATCCGCAGCAATGTTACTATAGGATCCAATGAAATCATACTGAACTTTGCAGGGGTGACATAACTCTGAGATCGTCTCCCAGTGTTCATTAAAAGGCTCCGACCTTGAAGAATCTATAAGATATTGCACAAATTCAAAGAACGTCAAGTTAACGCCTTTTTGGCCTTTAGTCCTGAATCGTTTTATGATGTTCTTGCCGTAATGATTCTGGAAGAATTCGTTGACGTTCTTGCCCTGGAACTTGTTCCTGAAGGCAGATAGGACACGTTCAAAAGGTTCACGGGTGAACGTGAACTTATAATAATGTTTCAACCTATGTCTGATCTGGTCCGGTGTCATGTCCTTTAGGTGAGTTAAATGACGGTCATACAACCCGTGAACAAGAGGAGACCTCAACTTGAGTGGATCCGTTGCGTTCATCTTCCCCGTCAGCATCAACATCATCCTCCGCCAGTTGGTGCACGCAGCCTTGGGTACCTGGCAGTATATGATCTTGTACTTGTCGTCAACCAAAAACTGTTTGAACATTGCTGGGTTTATGCTATCATCGTCTGGTTGATCTGTGCAGTATTCACTCTTTGTCCGGGGATGTTGTCCCGACGCCTGCAATGTTATATGGACATGTTTTACCATTTAAGACAATGACACATTTAATGACATTTAGATTTGTGTGACAATGATAAATTAATTGTACTTTTCAAACACTATGTGTATTACACTTCCCAAACCTGCTTTTTGATCCTGCAGTGCAGAAACATATTGTTTATAGTTAATGCTATTTTATCATCCAAAACTGGCTCCCACAGGAGATATCGCTATGGTGAGATGTAGATATTGCGGCAATGAAATTGCATCACAATGCTTTGCGGACCATTGTGACGTCATTGGTTACCATTGCCTCACAATCAAATGACATCACTAATAGCTCTGCTACTGAAGCTGTTAGCAGTGGTTTTTACACTTAAGACACTGCTTATTCCTGTCTACAAACTGAAAAGAACTGGAAGAAGGATGTTGGATGATAAATAGAATCTCACGCTTGTGTCTTTTGATATAAAATATATCAACACTCGTCGATAAAAGTTTAAAACTCCCTGGCAAGCCTCGGAGCTTTAAACTTTTATCGACTCATGCAGATGGATTTGATATCAAAAGACACCCGGGTGAGATTCTCTATTTATATGGCATGTATATAAATTTACCTACTTTTTACCTATTTTCTCTCATTACTCATGGCCATAAGAATGGCTCTATGAACTGTATTTATTATATGTTATTATTTTGTTTATTGCTAGCAAATCTTAATCTTCGTCACGCCGAAGACGAGGGTTCGATTCCCAACATGGGAAGCCAACTTCTGGTGTCCCCCGCCGTGATATTGCTGGAATATGGCTAAAAGCGGCGTAAAACCATACTCACTCAATCAATGATAATGGATAATTCTTGAAAAGCGCACTTTGTCATAAGTAATATTCCTGATCAGCGGAATGGCTAATTTTCACTTTTATTATAATTTCACTTTCAAGTATTAGCACACATGCAGCTGTCTTTGTTGAAAGTTTGTGCTTCTATTTCAAGTGGCGATGACGATAATGGTGTAACAGTTGAGATTACTTCTGTGAAAGTGCAATAGAGTAGATAACAACCTGCGTCTCTTGTCATAAACCAACGAGATAAGGAATGTACACTTTTGTCTTTTTCCAACTGAGTGTTGGGGTGAATTTGTGATGTGCTGATGCACACATTCTGTTGGACGCCTTTATGGGTGCAATTATCTACGCTTGTACTTACCGGACCAGTTTTAGAAGGAGGCTTAGATGTCACGTGACCTGAAAACATAAGGACAGGTTAACCTTTCATGAAGAAAATATCCGATAATACATGTTACATGTATTCCTGACCCGTGATACTTGTCTTAGGCGGCTATCGGGATCAATTACTGGATTGTTTTAGAAGGAAACAAACATGTATTCCTTTTTAAAAAGCAACTTCTTCGTGTACTTCTATACTACCGGGCACCATATACACCCTTGTTGAATGGTGGCTAATAATGAAACAAACAAGAAATAGTTATTGGATGGTGATAATAATGTACTTGGATCTTCACACAATTTTTCACCATTTCATCTCTGATTAAAAAATATATAACATCGATGAGTCTTTGCGCAGGGGGTGAAGACGCTGACTTTCAGATCGATTCGACTCCATCCGTTTTTAATTCAAAAATAAAATGTTGAAAATGATGAAATATAATGACGAAGTATCTAATGACCTTATTATATCCCAAACAAAATCTCAAATTAAAATCTAGAGTTGTTATATATGTTCGTGGTGTTACATCTGAACAGAAGTAGTTCATCACGTCCCGACGAATCTTATGGTTAGAGTCGACAAAAATGGATCGAGTAATGAATTGGCCCTGAGTCCATTATCTACCGGCCGCCGTGACAGAGTTGCAATATTGCTGAGTCTAACAAAGCCTCAAAACACAACACACCAGCTAACTATGCATAAAATATCAAAATACAGGCATACATTACAGCGCTCGATTTGCGGAAATTCAATTCATCTGCTTGGAAGTGATGAGACATTTCATGGTCGTAAACTGAGACAAACCTGTGATGACAGTGTCCCCAAAATAATTTGTTTTGAGTAGAAAAGGAAGTGTTTCTCTTCTCCTTTCAGATATGGAAAAGCAGCGCTGACAGAAAAATACAACAGTCGTTAACACCCCGTCCAAGGTGAGCGAACGCTTAACCACTCCATTACTCCTCACTACTCTGAAATATATGTAGAGAATGTTATAGCAATTCGTGCCGTTCTCACCTTTCTTGTCTCTGTGCATGGCCGCCACGCTGTCGTGGGGGACCGATATGATGGCGCTGCTCAGGATGAACCCCAAGCCTATCAACGTCCCTACGACAGCACGACGGGGATGGAACCTCATCATCAGAGCAGTAGAGTTTCAGCGTCGGTCATCACATAGCTTCCATCTGGAACAAACGTGTATCATGTTCAAGTTTTCTGCCCATGTCTTGCCCCGTCATGAGGCGGGGTGCATCCTTCCACGTAGATTGTTGTCTTCGTTTTGCAACAGGGATGAATGCTTCATTGGATTTAACCGAGAGCAGCAGGTATGGTGGCGGGTGACTATATATAGTTAATCTCAGCAAAGCTTGGCGCTTTCTGTTTCGGGTCGATGCCCCGACCTTCATCACGGATGGGAGGACTTGGGGCCTAGCCTGGCCTTCGTTTGTTGGTTTCAATGAGATTTATTAAAGAGAGTAGGAATGCATATTTTGGTTCAGTAAATTATCTAAGACGTGAATATATAAAATATTATTTAGTTAAGTTGATTTCGTCTACATGTTTATTTTTTATTTATTAAGTTTGTAATTTGTAAATGTAGCATTTGTTCTCGTTGATATCGTTGTGTTTAAGTAACACAACCACCCTCATTAAGTAATTTAACATAAAAATAATTAGTTCTCAAGTCTAAACTGTCACAGTACCGGTCCACTTTCTCGATAGGGAACACGCCCACGCCCAGGGTCCTTTTAATCTTTGGCTCTTGTGACGGGTTACAAAAGAAAAATAATAATACTAATAATGTGAATAATACTAATAATGTGAATAATTATACTACTACTACTACTACTACTACTACTACTACTAATAATAATAACACCACCAACAACAATAATAATAATAATAATGCACGATATTTCCGAAACACAGAAAAATCCTCAAAGTGCAACAATATTATATCCTCTATCAATGGATCAGTGCGTGGATCAGTATACAAACCAAGCTGTTTGCGTGAAGGTAAACAGCCGCATTACCATCTCATCCTACCGGGGACCCTTCGAAACATATTTTGACATCCACTCGATTAAAAAATTAAAAACTGAACAAAAGACCATTCAGAAATGGCTCAGTGCGTGGATCAGTATACAAACCAAGCTGTTTGCGTGAATGTAAACAGTCGCATTACCGTCTCATCCTACCGGGGACCCATCCACTGCTGGGTGAACAGACACCACATGTAACACGTATTCAGTAAAGGGCAGGACTGCCGAACGAGGTCATTCATCCAACTACTTTATGTTTGGTGTACTCAGGATCACGTGACACCGTACACGGGACCACGTGACACCGTACACAGGACCAAGTATCCCCACATTACCCCAAGTACGTGCACTGAGAAACGAATACCAGACAGTAAATACACAGCTTGTCCTAGTCCTTGCGTGACACTGTTGTTCTCTGTAGTGATATCCAATTTCCAAACTGCAGTCATTAAACCTTCCCATGAAAAAGAAGCTAATGTTCGCAGTTGCTTCCCTACTAAGACCCTTATATAACACATTCCTTAACCCAGGTACGACCTCGACTCACTGCAATGCTGGCTCCTGTCCAGTTGAGTGTTTCAGTAACCATCATACAATGATCTTACCGCAGGGAGTCGTCGGGTATATACTCCGATTATCCAGAGGAAATCGGGGTTAGGTATCGTCAAGTCTATTGTGCTATTTTCCACTGACGTATGTGACCCCATTAGGACAAGAAAAGAACTTTTCACAGGCCATTTGCGAGTACCTGTAATTTAGAACTGCGAGCGTGCTCAATCTCATCAAAATCAGATCTTAGTTTTCGCTACCGCTAAACAAAGATCTGAAGACATCCCATTACAGGTCACGTGAGACCAATCTTTCGCGAACTTTGACCAATGGAATGACTAACAAGAAGACGACAATAGCCAATCAGAAGGCAGCTTAATCGAGCTTTACGGCACGAGTTTCAAACTGGCGTCTACGCTTCGAAACATATTTTGACATCCACTCGATTAAAAAATTAAAAACTGAACAAAAGAACATTCTGGAATGGCCAATAGATGGTCTAGATTGTATGAATACAGACACAAAGCCCATAACTGTCGTTCGGAATACCCTGGGTATTTTGTCGAAGTTGCACGATCAAAAATCACATTCCAACTGTCACTTTCATGATCTGATGAGCGATGCTCTGATTGGTCAGATGAAAGGTCGTTCTGACATGACTCGCAATGGGATGTCCTCAGATCTGTGTTTGGCGGTAGCGAGTACTAAGATCTGATTTTAATGAGATTGGTGCGTGCTTGCCATGAAGGGAATAGGTTGAAGGTATGCAACCGTCTCTAATATGAGCTGAACTTTGTGTTGAAGGTAGATTTCTGTGAATGGGACTTCAGGAGAGACAAAGATGATAGAATTGTACAGTGCCTGCGTTTCTTATGTTCTCAAACACTGGTTTGCTTGGTCCAGGGCCCACTTGCACAAAGCGATCTTAGCGCTAAGACTATCGTAACTCCCATACTTTATATAGGCTTACAATAGTTGTAGCGCTAAGATCGCTTTGTGCAAGTATATATAAAATCACACAGACAGTGTCGGCTTGGGTGCCAAGTTGTCTGTTAGCTGACCGGTCATTCGGTAGGTCGGATTCGAATCCATTCATTCTGTGTTTCCATGTTATGGTTGTTGCGTTTAGAAAAGATATACAAATAAAGTGAGGGAGTTATATCACGGCGTGTCAGGTTGATATGGGAGGAAAGCCCGAAGTGATGTAGGTCTTCGACGTTTACCACTTTGGTGAAACCCACGAACACGGATATGGTACTGACAAACCTAGAAACATCAAGGCAGGTGGGAACAAGCCACCAATCACAGGTTCCTTGAGAGCCTAACCTACACTAATCAGCACGGAAATAGCAACTGGGCACCCGTGCCCAACAGATTATCACCCAACATCTATATTTCTCAAAACACCGCAAACCAACCACCAGTCTACAAACACGAGCTGTCACGTCGCTGCACTTCTTGTTGACATTAAGACTAGGACGTGCCGAGCTACGAATTAACTGGATAAAAATACCCGGAAAAATAATGGGCCGGTTTACTATGTAAATATCAACTTGATACCGACAGAGATCAGAACCCGGTTACCCCAGTGAGCGTGGCTCCAGGGACAATAAGTTGATGGGTGTGACAGGGACCGGTCCTACAGTAGTGGGCGTCCTTTTGAACCGCCTCACATGACAACATATACATCTCGTCGTCAGGCAATATCTTCAGACGAGGTGTGTACATAGCCGCCATGTTGCATAGCGTACATGTCAGTGTTGGGAAGGTGGATGGTTCACCCGCTGTTTTTGAGGAAGATTTAATTTTTGAGTGGTTGTTTAAAAACGCAATACTCGAGCAATATCGCCGACTTTTGATAAACAAATACGGGGTAGACAAAGTAGTAGTTGACAATGTCGTCGGCGTACCTGACACACAGGTCAGACATGTGACCCAGGAATCATGACGAGTATGCTTTTTTGTTTGCTGGTTCGTTGTCAAATGAGACACATTGCAATATTCCTGCTATATGGCGGTGATCTGTGTGTAATCGAGTCTGGACCAGACAATCCAGTGATTGATAACACGAGCATCGATTCGCACCTGGGATACGATGACATGCATCAACCAAGTCAGCGAGCCTGACCACCCGATCTCGTTAATTGCCTCTTAAGACAAGCATGAGTTCTAACCCGGATCTTCATGTGGTGTCTGCTCTTATGACAAACATGGGGTACTGGGTCCAATCTATCTGTGTTGAAAATATATTAAGAGTGCTACGTGTTGCTACATATTTTTTAATTTTTAGTTTCATTTTTAATTACCTTTTTAAAAGGTGTTTAGGTGGAGATAACGTTACATTATATGTATCACAAGTGACGAGCACACAACAGCATTATCGCACAGATTGTTCAACATGCCAATACAAAATGGTCTTTTATCTTCAGTAATTGAGTGTCTGGGATTTAAACCCACGATGAGTTGGTCCTGGTGTCTGTGGATATTACAATCCACGAACACACGTTCAGTGCCTACAAACTTTTTCTCGTGCCTTGTGTCCAAGGGCCACCTAAAGCCGCTGTATCTCGCCACATACAAATAATACATAATACAGATGGTACCGAATGGCACAAATCGCTGCTAGAACATCAATCGCGTTTCATGGTTGACAAACGATCCTTCAGAAAGTCAATGACTCGGATAATGTTAATATCCATGTTTCAATTTGCAAGACTGAACATATTTCACCCTCCAAAGGCGTTTTATAAAACATATGATGTTAATGAAATATAAAGCAATATGTAGAGTACACCTGAGACCGATTCTGTTGCAGAGATCGTGTTGTGCTGTGAAAAGGTCGGGAGGTGTCCTCTGACATTTCTGGTTGAATGGGTGTCTTTGGTCTACGTGAAATACCAGTGTCATTTTATATGTTTTTAATGAAAAATGTGATTTCAATGAAATACTTATACATCATTATACAGAGAGTGGTGCCGTACAGGTTGTGTTGTGTTGTGAAAGGGCCCTGAGCTGACCTCTAACCTAGGGATGCTGGGTTCAGTTACTGCCTTTGGGCTACGTGGAATGCCAGTGCCTTTGTATAGCCCCAGTGAGCCTTGCTGGTGGTTTATGGTCTTAAATACGACGGTACATGATGCTGACATATTTGGCGTTAACAGAATGCCTTTGATTGATGCCTCACATTCCTCAAATGGTTGTCCATGGGGTTCCGAATGAAAATAAAATAAGTGTCACCTGATTATTGCTTGTGAATAGAGCTGTGTCGGGTGGAAAATGTATTCTAGATGAAAGGAGTATAGTTGTGGTATTATTGTACTTATTGTAAACATAACGAGTCGACACCAGATTATAACCTGTCTTGGTTATCCGATGAAACAGATTCTATTGGGCGCGAAAGGCAAAATAGCGTTATAATTATATAAATAGATCACTGAAAATCAGTAGTGAAACCAGGTGTTCGCGAAAAGGGTAAGCATGCCCCGCCCTATTTGTAACACCCACCATTCACATAATTTACATAAAAAAGTATATTGCCTGACATCACACAGCGAAGGTGGCATATAAACAAACCAGAAAATCAAGTGGTGCCCAGAAATCCGGTCACACCACAGCGCGTTTACTGTTTTTTGTTGAAAAGAAAAGCGATGTGTTAATTTTAAATTACGTCTGCTGTGCACAAGTGCAGAAATTCTACAGCTTTTAAGTAAAGAAATATCTCCATTTTGCAATACATCGGCTGGCAGTTTCGGAAGCAATTGTCC